TAAGCTCTCTTTTGTTCTACTGAAGACTTTTTTTTCTTTTTCTTCTCTTCTTTAAGTAATTTATGAATAAATTAAGAAAAACTGACGCTTGGGGGACACTACTAGTGACAGGCTCCAAGCAGACCCTGTGCCACCACTCACACTCCTGTTTCCTCTACACAGCAATGAGTTATGGAGAGTGAACTTGCAGCCTGGTCAAGGCTGACAACAACATTGGTAGGGCTGTCAGTCACAGGCTTTAATTAAAAACAAGCCATTGTTTTTCTTTAATAAACTGGGGAGAAACTCAGCTGCATGCCATGTCTATCTGAAATGGGATGTGTTCTGTCTGGCACCTTGGCCTCTGTCTTTTATTACCTATTATTTGACCCAATCTCTGTGGCTTTGATTTAATTTTGAACTTGCTGGTGCCACAGTTCCCTGGAGAGCAGCAGGTTCATGAATTTCCCTGCCAGCCCTGTACAGAGAAGTACTTTCTTCTCAGTGAAACGGAACTATTTCTAGTTCCCACATGTTCCTGACTTCCTTAATTTCAGGGTGGAACAGTGGTTCTACATTCAGCTTATCTCTCTTCTGTTAGTTCATAAACCTTTTGTAAAGGCTCCTTAGCTGCCTTCTGTCCAACCTAAGGAGTCTTGGCTTTTCCATCTTCCCTGTGGGGGTGGTGAGGCCCTGGCACAGATTGCCCAGAGGAGCTGTGGCTGCCCCCATCCTGTTAAAGGCCAAATTGGATGGAGCCCTGAGCAGCCTGGTCTCATGGAAGCTGTCCCTGACCATGGCAGAGGACTGAAACCAGATCTTTTAAAGTCCCCTTCAACCCAAGACATTTTCTGATCTTTCTCATATGACCCCAGAACACAGCTGCTCCTTTCTCTTGGCAGTTTTAGTTGCTCTTCCCTGGATTTTCTCTGCTCTTGCATGCAAGGGCACACTGTGCCTTACACAGGGGTGAGGGAGAGCAGCCCCAGTGCCAACAGCTCAACATTCCAGCGTGGGGCACAGGAGCAGAGACACCCACCAGGAGCCCTCAGCTCATGCCACAACAGCTGAGGAGACTTGGAGGTGGCCAGGAGCAATGCTGGCCAAGCCCCTGTTTGTACTGATAAGGAAATTTTCAGTGTTTCTCTTTTCCAGCCAAGCATGAGGGAACCCCCACTGTACCAATGTGTGCCACATAAACCTCCTTGACTATGTCCTGGACTGAACTGTGAAATAGTGAAAATGCCTGTGGGTTTGTTTTGTTCCTCCAGCTGTGGGTTGGCAGCAGTGGGAAGCTGCAGGGCAAGAGCAAAGGGAAGATCTACGTGGTCAGTGCTGAGAGGAAGAGTGTGGAGAAGGAGCTGGTCGGCCACGCCGACGCGGTGAAGGCGCTGTGCTCGGCAGAGGACAGGTACGTCCTCAGCGGCTCTGGCAGGGAAGAAGGGAAGATTGCCATTTGGAAGGCTGGATAGCCACGCTATTCCCAATGTGTCTGCCTCCTCTGGGGAAAGGCAAACACCTGGGACTGTCTTTACTTCAGCATTTTGCATCTATTTCAACCACCTGCCAGTGTTATTGTCTTGTATTTATTGGGTTTCCATCCCTGTGTTGTTGAAAATGGAAATCAAAGCAAATCTTCCCTCACACCTTGTCCTGCTCCTGCACAATTGGTAAAGGAACAGAAATGGGAGAAGACAGGTCACTGTCTTCCAACTGGACATGAGGTGGTGTGGAGGGTTGGGGTTACCTGCCTGGGGCAGGTCACATTGGGAACACCAGAGCCAGCTCAGTAATTCCATGGGAGATCTCTCTCAGCAGTGCCAGGTTGCTTAAAAAAAAGGATTTTGTGATGTCTTTACAGCCTGTACTAGGTGGAAAAGGGCTGGAAGGACTGGAAGGAAAAAACCAAGTGCACCTGGACTTAGAGTTGTCACTGTGATGATCTTTCTGAGCTCAGAGCTGTAGGGGGGCAGTGTCCCTTACCTTTGGTGGGATTTCTGGGGCTGTTTTGTTTAAAATGCAGGCACAGACAGGCTCTCCCCACAGCAATGAAAGCTCCTCCAGCTGAAACAATGTATTTCCAATTAATAATTTAGTTTTGTTAATGTATTTTTTCTTTGAAAACAATGCACAGCACTTGGCATTTGGAACAGTTTGTGAAACTGATTTTTTTTTTTATCTGAAGCATTAATTTATTTAATTCCTGTATATATTATACTTGCTTTTGGAAGTACCTCTCAGTCTCTGTGCAGACCAACCTCTGCCCCTCCTCCCTTCAGTTCTGTTCCTGCAATCAAAGGAACTGCTGTTATTTTGGGTAGCAACTGCTTCATTTTTAACTTCTGCACAGTCCTGAAACCCCTCCTCAATCCCTGGAGTGAGCATCAGGGGCTGCAGCCTGGAGGAGTCTCCAGAGCAGCATTCCCTGATTGGTGCCTGATGCACAGTGGTTTTTCCACTGGTGACATTTATCTGCAAGTAAAATAACACATCTGTGCAAAATAGTTTCATCTGCATCACTGCAGAGTAGAAAAGAGTGTCTAAAAGACTGTAAATAGAAGGACAAAATGGGCTGCTACTTTTCTTAATAAATATAAAGCAGTGTAGGGCTAAATAGAAGGGTATAAACAACTGGAAAATATTATGACTAGAAATGTTATGACTCTGTATAATATTTCTGCTGATAAAAGTTTTTATCACAGCATGGTAACAAAAATGTTACTTTTTTATCTTTTATATCAGTTTAAGAATATTAAACACTATATTGATACTCTAGTCTCTGTACTTTGTTTGTTTTCCTGTTGATACTCGAGAATGATGATTTTAGCACTGACTTGCTCCTCTCTGTGTGCTGTAACAAGAATTGCCTGGGGTTTTCTCTCTGCATGTTCTCCTATCTGAGGCAGCTTCTGCTGTAACATGTCCCCTTTTGAGCCCCATATCTGTGACTTTCAGGTTCCTTCTTTCCTCCCCTGGCTTGGTCAGGCTGCTTGGGGTAAGTGACATGAATTCTTTACTGAATTCAAAGACACACAAGGGCTGTTAATGAACTTTTTTTCCCTGGCTCCAGAAATGAACCAGCTGTACCAACCTGCTGCCCACCTGTTCTGTCTTTATTGATTTTCATTCCTGGCATACTTTTTAGACTTGGTTTTCTTCTTAGCTGGTTTTTAGGTGCTCACTGACCATCTCAGCTTTGTTCCAGGATTTCAGCTGTGGGAATGGACCTGCAGTCACAGCACTGTGAGGTTCTGTTCAGCTTTCAGTAGAGTTTCAGGTGCTTCCCGTGGGCCCCTTGATGGTGTGAAGGCACCTCAGAGCTGCTCTTTTCCCCTCTGCCAGTGAGAGCTTGGCCAGGTGTAGTTGCCTCTGTGAGTCACTGCCTCCCAGAGAAGGGACAAAAGGAGCAGGAGCTGCCCCTGGCAGGAGAAGGGAGGCTGTGAGTGAGCGGGCTGAGCACTCCCCATCCCTGTCTGGCCCTAAAGCCGTGCTGCTGTTGGGCTTGGCCAGCCTCTGTCTGAGACTCTGAGCCCAGCTTGTGCTGCCATCCCCTTCTGTTCTCTCTCAGGGAAATGTTGTCTGTTTCTTGGAAACCTCAAGGCTAATGTTTCCTGCACCATTCTCCTCTCTGTACTGGTGAAAAAGCAACTGCATAGGCTGGGCTTGATGTACAGTTTATTTTGTTTTTAAGTTTTCACATCTTCCTTAAACTCATGTCCAGGGAAAAGTGTATGGATGAGCTTTGTTTGGCCAAAAGGGGAACTAGTGCAGTTGCCAGAGTGCTCATGTAGCATGTGAGAGGTTGTAGCATTGGTGGCTGCATTCCCCAGTGTTTCTAAGGCCAAAGGTTAAAACACCAGGTTGGGTGGGGGTGCTGTTGTGCTGGAGGGTAGGAAGGCTCTGTGGACAGGCTGGATGGATGGTGCAAGGCCAGTAGGATGAGGTTCAAGAAGAGCAAGGCCTGGGTCCTGCCCTTGTGTCCCAAGAAGCCCCTGCAGTGGCCCGGGCTGGGGGCAGAGTGGCTGGAAATGGGCCCAGCAAGAAAGGCCCGGGGGGTGCTGGGTGACAAAAGCCAAACAGGAGCCAGTGTGTGCCCAGCTGGGTAGGGAGGCCAGTGGTTTCCTGGCCTTCTGTGTCAGCACCAGTGTGGCCAGCACGGGAAGAATTTCCCCATGGACAGGGTTGCCAAGCACTGAGAGGGGCTACCCAGGGAGGTGGTGGATTCACCGTTCCTCGAGGTGTTTAAGGAAAGACTGGATGTGACACTCATTGCTCTGGTCTACTTAACAAAGGTGGTGATTGGTCATAGGCTGGACCCAGTCTTGGAGGTATTTTCCAGTGTAATTAATTCTGTGATGATTCTATGCAAAATTAACTAAACCCCAGGCAGACATTGACTTCTCAGAGCTGCCAATAGTTGTTCTGAGGAATTTCCTTTAGGAAAAATCACAGATGAAATCTGTCAAGGAAACTAGAAATCAAATGGGGCAAGTGAGCTCTTCACTGCAAGTTTACCCATCAGCTGGTGTTTGTGATCTGGCTCCAGCTTTCTCCTCTGGTTCACAATGGTCCAAGAGGTGGATGAGTTTGGATGTGAACTGATTTCTTTGGGAGCTGCTTGTGGCTATTAAATCCTAGACTCAGAGGTGACTGAGGAGACCCTCAGCTCTTCAGCCCTAGCGATGGCATGAGTGGTGATGGATTCTGTGTGACAGCCACCACCCTTTGTCAGAGCAGGGCCTGGAGATGGGGACACACACCTGCCTCAGGTATCCCCATTTTGCTCCACCTGTGCTCCCTCCTGGGTTACACCTGAACCCTGCAAGTGTCAGGTGCCTTTAGAACCATCTCTGAGTTGCAACACCTGCATTCTTGCCAGGCAATGTTTGGCAGTAGCATTTTTGGAAATATTCACAAAGCTCTGGGGTGCAGGTGAGTGTTACTTGCCTTGCACAGCTCAGGGACCAGGTGTCCCTCTGCTCACCTTCCCTACAAACACCACAGGGACACGAGCCACCAACTCTTATTGAAATGTTTATTAAGATCGAACTTCGGAACAACAGATTGGAACACAATGTCTCGTGGAGTAGAATATTTCTAAACTGATTTTTTTCTTTTCTATGCATAAATGAAAAAAAAAATCAAGATTATACAAAAAGAACAGAAAGTGCAGAACACAGTAAAACAGTTCTCATGCAACAATTTTTTAAACCTTTAAACAGAAAATAAGCTCAACAGTGTAGAAATAAAAATCATACATACATTATGCCGTCTACGCACTCAAACATTCATCTGTGACATCACTTTTCTTTATCCCTTTTTCCTCATAAAACAACATTATGTGTTTAACACATGCTTATAAACATTGCTAAACTCAGCAAGAGCTATTATAGTGCCCCAACTTAATAAGTTGATAAAAAAGTAGTTGTCATATGGCCAGTTCACAAAGGAACTAAATATTCTCTTTTTTTTTTCTTTTTTTTTTTTTTTTAATTTTTTCCCCACTATGAGATGCCTATATGCAGCTTTCTAGTAATACGAGGCATTTAAAATAAGCTGGTCATTTGGCTACTTAAAGGGCTTAGTGTTCATGTTACATCAGGCAAAACAAATTCACATTGGGAACTGCCAATTTGTTGAGAGAAAAGTCTGGATTTTGGGGTAATTTATTACAATTTTGCTGTCACGAAGGACTGAGTAGGTGCACAGCAAATAAGGTGACACTAAGTTTGATTAAATGCTCCAAGAGCTTCACCCCAAACTTCCACATTTAAGAATAAATGTGCCAGAGCAGGTCAAATTGAACCATGCTCTGCATTTTCCCTAAAATTGTAGCAGGTCATAAGGGCATCAAAAGCCCTTTAATTACAGCAGATGCTCTCTTTTGGTGAGGGATGCATTTGTCCCTCCTGGGCACCCCTTGTGCTCCCAGGGGCGAGGGAAGCTGAGGTGGAAATTCAGGTGAAGCTGCTCGGGTTGAGGAACCAAACCAAATCAGTTTTCCAGGAGGTGATTTTAATTTAAACAACAGGAAAACCTGGAACACCTTAATGAGCAGATCACTGGGTGCAAGTGCCATGCCAGGAAAAGGAGTTGAGCCTTTTTTTTTGTTTTATAAGGCTGTTTCTGAACTACTGAGCCTCAAATTCAAATCCCAGTTGGTGTTTGAGCAGCTGCAGCTCCTTTGGATGCAACATGACAAAGAGAAAACTTTGGGTAGCTCCATTTTTTCCGAATGACCATTTTGTGACGTGCTTTACAAATGTTCAGCTTTGTCATTTAAGGAAGGAAAACAGCTAAAGGACTCTCTGGAACCATAAAGTTTCTGCAAAGAAAAATAAAATTTGGTATTTCTTCCACACAGTCATCAATAACATTTCTGTGCAATATTTGGTGTCCATTACATTTATTTGGCCTATTCAAAGGAAACGAGGACAAAACAGCTGCAAAGAAAACCAACTTCTCTTTCACGACAGACACTTGAGATGCTGAAGCTGCTACATGTGCTTGGAATATCATGCAGGAGTTCATTTGTTCATTTAAATAGGATACATATTTATAGCTGAGCTTGTCTTGCATTGGACTAGGATGAGGGAAGCCTGGAAGAACTCAGTTGAAAACATTGTGGAGTACAGTGACAGCAACACACAACCCCCAAAGGTATTTTGGCCTGAGCAGTGTGTCTGGAAATGTCCAAACACAGAGGTACAGACACACACACACATCCCTAAAAACCCCCAAATCTCAGCACCTGCCTCCTGTGCTTCCCTCCTGCCCAGAAGTCCCAGCTCTCCCAGGAAATAAGTGTGACCTTCTCTACCTTTACTCATAGATGTGACCTCAACCTGCATGGCTGTGAGATCTGGCAGCCAGGAAAATCCTGCTTTTCATGGGGGATGCTGGAGGAAGCCAAGCTCACCCTGGACCAAGGGCAGGGGATATGTTCTTAACAATGGAAGCGAGGTTTTAATGAGGTACCTGGCAAAAAGCACCGTGGTTGCTGCTGTCATTCCAAGTGCTGGGGGGTTCAGATGAGGTGGGAGAGGGATAAGAAAGACTCAGTCCTTGCCTTTGAGGAGAACCTCATGCAGCCTGTTCCAGCCTGGGGTCTGAGTGCCAGCATTGATGTGCTGGGAATATTTCAGAGCCTAGAAAAAGGCTCCAAATGAAAGGGGAAAAGGACATTGTGTGTTTCAAGAGCACAAACCTCCGTTGGATTTACTGGCGTCCTCCCTCCTGATGAACAACCCCTATCTTTCCACAACTACTCACAGCCAGCACCAGCAAAACACCATATTTATGTTATTAAAAGGCTATTTAGGCAATAAATCTCTATGAGAGTCATCAAACCAGCAGAAAGAGAAACTAAGAGAAACTAAGAAATTATTGCTTCTGGAGTTTGAAATTGCTGTGCACAAACAGCACAGATCTCACTGCACTCATGGAATAACCCAACAGGGCCAAAGCCACACTGTGCCTTTCCGAGGGGTGAAAGTTAAAGCTCCTCTGCTCTCACAGGAAACATCTCGAGATGTGCAGCTGACCACAGCCCTCGAGGGTCTGAGCACCAGCAGTGCCTCATGTTGCACATCACTGCAGCAGAACATGTTAAAATTGTTTATAGTATTGAACAACACAGAATCGAACCCTAAACCTTAGTCCTACTACACTGATGGTCCAATGGGATGACTTCAACTAAACAGGAACACAAACAAAAAGAAAGATGTTAGCTGTCACCAGGAATAAGAAAAAAGGCCACTTAAAACTTCTCTTTCCACAAGCTCTGCAATAAACACATAAAAGTGTACTACTTTAATTATGGCAAAGAAAAATCATTATAAGGTAAGGGACAGATGAAGAAATAAATCATTGCCCACTCTACACTGAGCAGTGCTGGGGTTAGAAAGATAACTTTCACATCCAAGGAAAAGCCCTTGGGAGACCTCAGCGTGTGAAGCCAGTGTGGGGGTTTCCCAGGCTGGGCCCAAGGACAGGAGGAGATGCTTTGGCTGGGGCTCCCCAAGTTAATTCTTCTGGCAACACTACAAAAACTTCAGCACATTTACAATGAATAATTATTTCCTTTGCCTTTACCAGGGAGTGAAATCAGCTTCCTGCTGTGGCACAGTGCATATTCCTGCGTTATGAGCCCCGTGAACAACTCCAAACATGGATTTTGACATCCAGTTCTTAGAAATGAAGCCATGCCAAATGCTGTCTGTGACAAAACTGGCCCTGCCCTGCCTTTGCTTGAAGCCTCTGGGTTCCAGATGAAAGGTCCTTCCTCTGTCCTTGCCCTTCTCTGGCTAAGAAAGCTCCATAAACATGGGTGAGCTCACTCCTAAAATGGTTTCATGTTCTCTGTGGGATCTGAAGTCAGAGGGAGCTTCAGCCTCTCCACCCTCTCTGCAGCTACTTGGCCAGTGTGATGGTGCAGTGAAAGAGATCTTGGCTTAGAAAGTGCAACGTGGAGTAATGGAAATTTGATCCATGCTGGTCCATGGAACCCTTGGGAAAAAGGTAAGGCTGGCACCAGTCAGAGGATGCAGATTTTTAAACTGTTGAAGAACCTTTCCAGCAGTAAAGATTAAAATAAGGAGTACTTGACAGCGGTTAATTAACCAAAAGCAGAATCTTCAGGGAGCTTCAAAACTCAAATATTAAAGCCACTTTAAAATGTGTAACTCAGCATGTAACTTACATGAATGCCAGTTCTAGGGTGAAACACAACACTTGTCTCTCACACATGAACATCACCAGAATATATTAAATGTAACTGAGATGATAAAATTCATGGCAGAATTTCTCACAACTGCTTTCTTCAGTAAGGTCTCACACTCTTCAGTAGTATTGCTCCCCTGGCTGAACACAGTTCACAGTACATGTTCTACATAAAAAAATATTCACCAGAGGAAAAAAAGACTTCTTCAAGACACTTGGAAAAACAAATACAACTCTAAGTCCTGTGTGATTACATGCACTTCAGTGCTCTGTGATGTTACCAGTCTAAAAACATCATCACCCTTGACAACAAAGGCCATAGGCATTGACTGGAAGCCTTCAGAGAAACCCACAGATGCCACCTACAAATACACCCAAACATCCATTGCTCAAAAACATTGACAATTCAAGTAATTCACTAAAAACTGCTTTTCATACTGAAATATAGCTTCTTTGTCTGAATGCCTGGATTGCAGCATGATTGACACAGGCATTTGCAAGTCTTGGAGGAGGAGGAGTTTGAGGCAGCAGGAATCTCACACCGTGCTGTGTTTGCCTGTCCAGCACAGGGATTGAGGCAGCCTGGGGGGCCCAAGCCAAAATGAGTCAACAGCATCACAAACGTGCCTTACAAATGACATTCGGAAGTTTGTGAAACACAAGTTTTGAAAGTTGCTTTAAATGGCTGCTGGATAATGATCCAAACCTATTTTAAATCAAGTTAGCATAACTCTTTGAACCTCTTTCCAGAAAAGTATCTTTGCACTGCAGCTGTGTCCTGAATCACAGAAGGGGACATGGAGGATGTGCTGACAACATTGGTATGGCAGCTCAGAAGAGCTCTGGCCTACAATTCCTCCAACACAGGGACTGGAACAGCAACATTTGAATTTTAAGGCCTAAAAACTGTTTCTGACACAGATTTTTATACACCCAGACTATGCCATAAAGTGACAGAGGTAGGCCTTGGGTTCTCCTTGTTGTACTGACCCCGTGCCTTTACCTCGGCTGCTGCATTCCCAGCCAGAAGGTTAAAGGATAGTAAAAAGTGCAATTAATCAATGACTTCCTTTCCCTACGGAAGAGAATCCGCACGCCCCCTCCCACAAAGCTGACCCCAGAGATGCCCTTTCTCCACGGCAGCTTCATCCAGAGATGATCAGGTTTAAATGCTGAGAAAACCCCCGAGTTCACCAGCACGTGAAACTCTCAGCTTAAAATTGTCACAGCGTTTTCCAACGACATTCATAAAATGCAGCACTTGTGATAAAGAAACCTGTGAGTGCTGGTCACCTCTCCCAGCTGCTGCTCCTTCCATCTACAGCTGACATCCAGCACCCAGTGTCACCCTCTCCTGACAAGCAGCAGATCTGGGAGTGGTTGTGAATAGTATGACTAAAAGAATTCACGGCAGTTTCTTAGAAACTGCAGTAATTGCTTTTTTTTTTTTCCTTGAAAATAATTGCAAATAAAAGGAGTCTGCAGTAATTGCACTAACAAAAACATGAAGTCTAAAATTAACGTAGCTGTCAGACCAGTAATATCATGCTCGTGAAAAAAAATCAATTGATGTCTAAGCATAGTGAAATCTGAAATGTTCAGACAAAAAAATGGCAAGAGACTATAGGTCGAGATAGCTTCCATTTTCTGTTAGTTTAAGAACAGCTGAAAACTTAATTTTTCTAACTGCTAATTGTATACACTGTGAGTTTCATGCAGATTAATAAAACTTATTTGAAATCTAAATGTATTCTTAATAAAAAAGTGTTCAGAAATGACGTTTCTAAGTTGTAGAGAAAGCAATTAGCATCAGAGCGACCCGCTCAAACCTAGAGGAAGGACTACAGAATTTCATTTACATTTTTGCATGAAACTTCCTTTTCTTCTGTAAATTTTAGCTACAAGTAGTGAAGGTCCTAATTTACTTTCCTGGAAAAAAAAAACCACAACAAAAGTTCTTGATCCTGCACCTGCACTCCTTGGAATGTGGGTGAACAAGCGCTGGCGGCCTCACACGGCTGACTCGCCCTCCGGCTCCGCCGCCGCGGCTCCTTTGCGCGTCAGCTTCAGCACCGTCGGCTTCTCCGCGCCCGCGCCGCCGCCCTCGGCTGTCTCTGGAGGACCCAGTCCCTTCGGCTCTTCCTTTGGCTCTTCATTGACTTCGGGGTAAATCACCAAGAAAGTTGCTGTCAAAAAACCCAGGAAGGATCCCACCGAAGCCACCATGGGGATGACTCTGACCGTGCCGACCATGTCCACCACGCCGCCGAGCGCGGAGGCCACCAGGATCTGGGAGATGTAAACCTGACACGACAGAATGGCGCAGTCGATGCCAAACCCTCGCTTCGAGTTCCCAGGGCTATGGTGAATGTACTGCAAAAAGACAAGAAATGTGGTAGGAGGTAAAACAATGGATGAAAGCAATACTTGAACACCAGAACTTTCCTCCAATTTGTCAGCCCCATGGTCAACTTCACATCATCTTTGTGCAGCACCATGACACAACTCCAGAGCAAGAGCCTCCTTATCTGCTCATCAACAGCCTCCTCAGGACCCTGCAGCACGAGGCAGGTATTGACAGGGTCACTTCTAGCCCACATCAGCTCCAAGATTAGGTTTTGTAAAAACAACTTTACATTAAACATTTGGTGTTACATGAAACATTAATTCTATGATTATAACAAGGAATCCTCCTCCCAATCACAATTCAAGAACTCGTAATAGAAGTTCCTCCTGTAGTTTGTAATCCAAATGGAACAGTAGAATGACACTTTTGGGAAGTAAAACTGTCCTTGTTTCCAGCAGAATTGTTTTGCTTTATATATGCCCAAAATTACAGCTGCATTTCCAGACTCAGTTCAAAATCTAAGACTGTGAAAAACCTGAGTGACATTACCATACCACATCAAGACAGGAGTAACAACTAGATATAAATATTCACTCCAATAATAATGTAATTTCTCTTCATCTGCCATATGCACCCAGCAGAGGAAAAAGCAATCGTGACCCTCTCAGAGCCAATTCAATGCCAAGACTATCTGATTTCAGCACCAGCTCCTGCTATTTACTATCCATTCAAGCTTTGGCACACATCCCAACCAAGCAGATATCTTCAATAATAGGATTTAACAAATCTATTTTGCCACCGTGATCTTAAGAGAAACATGGATGTTCTGCCTTGATTCACATATATGCTCCAAATATTCCACATACCTGTTTTATCTCATGGTATTGTCCCAAAAGCGCGTAGGGGCAGTAGGAGATGCTCATGGAGACTATTCCCATCGTGCTGATCATTATCATGGTGACGTACACGTTGGGGAACATGGCCATCACTGCAGTGCCAAGGGAAAAACCCAGCGTGCCCAGGATGTAGATCACTTTTATGCTAAGGTCGTAATTGTCCAAGTATTTCTGCAACAAGGCTGCAGAGATAAAGAATAAAACAGGAATCATAGAATGGTTTGAGATGGAAGGGGCCTTAAAGACCATCCAGTTGCAACCACGCCTGCCATGGTCAGGGACACCTGCTACTATCCCAGGCTGCCCCAAGCCCCATCCAGCCTGGCCCTGAACACTTTCAGGGATGGGGCAACCACAGCTTCTCTGGGCAACCTGTGCCTCACCACCCTTACAGGGATGAATTTTTTCCCATTATCCAATCTAAACCTACTTTTTTTTGGTTTGAAGCCATTTCCCCTTAAATATCAGTTTACTCACTAAAATTTTAGGGGATTGATGTGGCCATGGCAGCCCTACACCCTGTTTAGGAGGTGGATGCTCATATTTGGGCTGTCTGACCAGCACAGCCCAGGCCTCACTGGGAACAGGATGTATTCCTGCTTCAGAAAGAGCCCGTCCCCACAGTACTGAGATGTGCAGACACGCCTGCTATGTGCTGCAAAACACAGAATTTAACTTTGGCAAAACCTCTCAATTTCAGAGTCTATTGCAAGCGCAAATTATCTGCAGAATAATTTTCAGAACTACATATTTATAATTTTGATTTAAAAACAGTCTTTGCAAGAACCCTCTTGAATATGCCTAAATCTTCTACGAAGCATGATTTTAGTTTCCTGAAGGCTTGTTAAATGCCACTCAATATCCTTTGATTTCATTTTGTGCTTTATGCCACTTAACCATCTGTTCATATTTCCACCTCTACATTTGGAGGAACTTTTTAATATTGATTCTTAAAGAAGCCCTTCCCCTTATGACTGCAAGAAATGCTTTTCCAAAATGTCCTTTACCTCAAGGAGGTGGATGCCAACTGAAGCAACACCATTTCAGGAGCGCAAGAAGTTGGATGATCTTTGTGGGTCCCTTTCAACTCGGAATATTCCATGATTCACTTTTACCTTAGAAATACATGCATGAAGTGCATTCCACACTGTGTGACTGCACAGTCTCTTACCTGAACAAACAGCAGCAGTAGCAGCATAAATCACCAGCCCCCAGCATCCCATCTGAACCCCAGCATTGTAGGCGTGCAGCTCAGTCGAGTTTGAAGGGGCCTGCAACAGGCACAAACACCAACACCACTTTGTTGTACTGAGCACATCTCAGAAACGAGGGACTCTGAGCAGGTCTGCCCACAGGAACTGCTCTCCTACCTTTGGATCACCCTGGAAGATGACCTGTCCCATGAAATCCGTATAGAACACAGCTTCAGCAATGATGGAAAACCAAGTCAGGAGGTGGCAGACGCATAGCCTCAGCAGCTCCTTGGGCATCTTTAGCATCGACAGCCACAAGAGTCTGACGGTGGTTTCGGTCTCGCCCTCTTCGCTCTCCGTGTCCCCGCTGGAGTTGGTGGTGCCGCTCTGGTTGCGGTGCCGGCACCGCTGCCGCTGCCGTTTCTGCATGTCGTAGATGTCGTTCATGCTGCGCGAGGACTTGATCAGGACGATGGCGTTGGCGCGGCGGAAGCGGTACCGGTGGGAGCCGATCTTGCCGTAGTACGAGAAGGTGTAGGATGGCTGCCGGTAGAACATGTGCCTGCGGCGCCGCATGGAGTTGGAAGTGCTGGATTGCTTCATGCCTATTCTGGCGTGGCCGTTGAGGAACTCTTTTGGTAGGGAGCCGTTGATGTTTGGGATTTTATCTTCATTTAAACGATTATCAAGCAACATTTCCTCCTCCTTCTCATTCTCCCTGAGGAAAGCAGACAGGTGGTTGAGCTTGGACTTCATGATCTCCTGGCTCGTGTTGTGGGGAGTGTTTGGATATGAAGCATCCTGAAAAATGGAGGGTTCGATGTCATGCAGGAAAAGCAGCTCTGATTCAATTTCCAGTGTGGCATCAGGCATGTGCAGAACTGAGTCACTCTTGCTTCTCACAATGTTCACCTCAAGGAACTCCATATTGAGGTCATGCTCCGACTGAACCTCATCATGGAACATGGAAGCTCCATACGGCTCTTCCTCACTAATTACATTCAGCCGATTCAGAGGGGGTAGACTGCCACTGAATTTGGCACTTGAAAGTGTGTCTCCTTCGTCATCGATCCTGTCCTGCTGAGGGTTATATTGCTCTTCTTCAATGCTGAAAAGGTGGAGAGCAACGGAGACAGAGAAAATAATGGCTGCAAAGAAAAAAAGGACTTGCTCTTGAGATTTAAAAATGCTACCCAAGAAGGTCTGTGTCCAGTCCAGCCCTCCTAACATATAACCAATTGCTCCTCCAAGACCTGTGAAACAGAAAAAAGTGAGAAGTGAGTTCAGGAATAATCAATTCAGCCATGACCTGGTCTTCAGGAAGACTGAACAGCTGCCAAAAACATCTCAGCTAACTCCCTACCAGCTGAAAATGCATGGATGTTCAGGGCCATGTCTTGTTCTTCACTGTCCACCACATCCAACAAGTAGGCCCGAATTGGCCCTTCGGTTGCATCGGCGCAGAAGTCCAACACCACAACCCCAAGCACCGTGAGAACTATTCCAATGGGCTGCTTGTCCGGTACATCACCAATAGCCAGACCTGGGGAGAAATGAGAAAGGTATCTGAGCATCTCAAACAGGGCAAACTCCTAAGAACAAGCTTAAAACATTAAGAGAGAGGTGGCCAACGTCTTCACTGCAAACATTCCCTTATGGAGCAAAATGGCAATTTCAGCTCTTTGGCACAGCATCATGGAAGGTCTGGGACATGGACTGTTTTTATGTCCTTAAGACTGACATTTACCAAAATGTTATTTTATAAGGCATCTCTTAAACCTCTGGGAGTACTGGATATTATTTCATATTCATCCCATGTATTTTCCTTCAGATGCTGAAGGCTATTTTTATAAAAGACAGCCATGGTTGGAGAGGGGAGCATCCAAAATGACATATTTCATCTGTCAGACACATCCACAGGTAACTGCACTGCTGGCAGCATTCCTCACACAATGCTTAATGTGCAGTAGTTGCAGCACACCAGGATAAAGTGAAATTGAACCCCTTCATCACTCTCTTTGCTTTTCTTAAACATTCTTATTTTCTAGATTGCTTTTTATAAGCAAAACTTTTAAGGATGAAGCAACATGGATGTATTTTGCATTGCAAAAAGCATCAGTCAGCTTCTGCTGACAGCATAAGATGAAATGCTTTTTGTCTACAGAGTAGAAAGGCAGCATTAGTGCAGAGCTGGATAATTTGTCATGAGAGGAACCAGTGACAAAAGCACGAATTACTCGAATCACAGAGATTTGGAAGTTACACATGTGAGGCTGATAAAACCATTAGTGTAACTGACTAAAATGTCTGTGGAAGGAGATGAACTGGCTTAGCCACCAAAAATCATCTTAAATCTCAAGCGCTGATTCCTGCATATTGAATCCTCATTTATACCAAGCCCTTTGAAGGCTAAAAAAATTTATAAGTGTTCCACATTCAGCTGAACCCTACAGCAGAAAACACCAACACTGCTGCAGATCTGCTGGTAGGGTGTTCTCCTGGGACATGGCTGTATCACGACTGGGATTAGCCAACCTCTGTGCTCTTGGTTCCCCTCCCTATGACTCCTACTGCCAGAGGCAAAGTTATGAAAGAGGGTCTGATACAGTTTTTGCAGCATGTCGTGTTGTCCCAAATTGCAATTAGGATTGCAAGTAACTGGAGACTGAGGATAGGCAAGCGAAGCAAAAAAATCAACAATATTTTGTGCTGCTTTATCAGAAGGCTTCAAAACAAACCTATAAACAGAGCCTGAAGTTTGCTTGCCAGTATCAATGGCTCCTGATCTAAACTACTATATGGAACTGAGAGCTTCTTATCACTTAAAATCTTGTAAGGGGGTTGCAGCCTAACATCCTGCAAACATCTGGAGGAAGAGGAATAAGTCTTGGAGACACAACTAAATACAATTGATATCAAACCATACAGTCACCCCAGGACCATGCCATATGATAACAATTAAAACAAATAATATTTATTATTTGCATAAATTAAAAAAACCATAAGCGAAATGTCATCTATTTGAATAGTTTGTCCACTGCAGTTTGCAGAGAATTGAAGCCAATCATATGGCATTCCGGTCTGGCTTTAACAGGCCAAGCCAAGGTAACATTCCACTCCTTTCCCTCAATTAGTAGACCTCTTTCACAATAGAGCTGCATCTAACCCCAAAGAAGAGAGCCAAGAGGATGTTATTAGGTGCTAAGTTCCTTTTGTTTGCATCAATCCAATCATTTTGTAAACATTTTCCTAAACGTATTTGCTGTCACCTCTCCTACAATAAATTTACAAAGAGATTGTAGATTAAATTCGTAGTAAACTATGTTCAAGGGAAACTATTTTTACCAGCTTTGATGGGGGCTCAGGGAAAATTATTTTCCCACATAGTTTTTGATAAACAAATATTAACTGTGTTCTGGACTTTTTCAATACCGGGTCTAAGAAAAGCACAAGAAAAAGTGAAAAGATAATTTTTGAAATAATGCTGGAAACAGGATGTGTTGCCAGATATGCATTAAAGGGAAAATGGATCACAACAGGAAACATTTCCCTGTGAACAGGTTGCTACAATTTTCCCATGTCAAGGATCGACCAAATTCGTCTCAGCGACTGCAAACATTATGCTGGCAACCATTGTATTAATAACATTGTTATTAATACCAGTTACAGCTAGGATTGCACAATGCTCAGCACAGTGCTGTAACTCATGAGTTCAAATAATAACAGGCAAGATGGACAGAGCTCAAGTGCAGGGTTGTGGAGATTTCTAAAGATTTTAACATTAAATATGAGGTAAACCAACTGCAGAACATTATCTTTACTTCCTGCATTAAAATCTCAAAGCAGGTACATTAGCAGGGGATGCATGTAGGGCATTTCCTTGTTCTTTACCTATCACAGAGCCATTAAGGAAAAGTGCAACTCCAAAGAGGACACCAATGCAGAGAGCAAGGATAAAAGGCCGCCGGCGGCCCCAGCTCAGCGTGCAGCGGTCACTGGCCGAACCTATGAGCGGAGTGAAGATCAAGCCCAGGATAGGGCTGAGGAACCAAGTGAGGCTGTAGTATTGTTCAGGAAGACCTAAAACGAAGACAAAAATGATGGAAAGGTTATGTGGTACACACAAACATCTCACTCTATACATGAAGTTTTGTTAAAGCATTGAAAAGTGTAAATCTGAGGGTAATTTATCTCCAGTGAATTCTCTCCCAGCTTAAAAACTCATTTAAGATTCTTTAGCAATGGTTAAAAAACAGCTAAGGAAAGTAGAGATTGTTTACCTTTCAAATACCTGGGCAATAAGAAGGTAACAGTTGGAGCATTTCTGCTACTGAATCCTCTATTGATTTGTGGAACATAAAACCAAAGATTTTAGGCTGCTTGGAAACTGCCTGGCTGTCATATACACAGATACCCTGCTCAACAAAGCTTTTAAGATTCAAAATTGAAAATTATAGTGGTGCTGCTTTCATCTAAGACCACCCCCACATAAGGGTTATTAAAGATTTAATGGACTGAGAGTGAAGGACAGAATTTGAATGTCTCATGAAATGTCCCATTTCTAAGCACAAAAATGTTTACTTACAAAAATGAATGACAGACAATAAAACAACAATTAGCAATTATTCATCAACTTAAATAAATCCAAAGTTTGCTCATTCCCACTGTCTTTGCTTTCTTAAAGAACAGAGATGACTATTCACAGGATCAGATGGGAAAAAGTTAAAATTTACTACATAGCACTTACTAGAAAGCAACAACTTGCTAGAAAGAATAATTTCTGAGAATTAAGAGCTCCCAAGCCCTGCTCTCCACAACCCCAGCACTGGCCTGCAGATGGCAGACTGGCCACAGCAGCAGCCCCGGTGGCTCCTCTGGGACCTGCCTCTGTTTATCAGCACAGGGCAGGTAACACTCCGGCACGGTTCTTAGAATAACATTAAAAACAAAACAATCTATTTCTTGCAGTCTAACTGATGCCAAGACAGAAAAACTCAGTGTCTTTATCCCAGGAAGGAAAACCATTTATTACCCAAACTCATATTTGGTGAGTGTGAGCAGCATTTGACCTTTGCTGACGAGATCAACCTGTACCTTGTGCTCCCTGTTCAGCACATTGAGGCATCCATTACCAAGCAGGATTATACCAATCCCTGCCCAAAATAGCCTCTGATGCAAATTTGGAAGTCTAATCTGCTGCTGTTTAAAAGTAGCACCAAATCTTGACCAGCAACACTGACTTCTACCATGAGACAGATCAGATTTTCCCAAGAGTGTTGCACACTCTGTGGTGATACAGAGGTTATATTATGGAAAACAAGCTATTTTGTGGCATAAACAATCAGTTTCATCATCAGGATTCAAAATCCAGGTCTGAGGCCAAGGTTTGTGTGATTTGACTCAACTTTGGCTAATGAACAAGCTAACAGTGACAGATGCCCTGATGAGTCCAGTTATTGGAAGGGACCTGCCCCTGGTGAAACTTCCCAACCTGTGTTTGCCATGAACCTTGTGCCACAGGGAACGGCATCATGGTTCAGCCACCTTTCCTTGTTACAGGCAGCTGCAGGCCTGCACTGAGGCCAATACTCCGTATCTGTACTTACCATGGAACTGTTGATTCCTTTTGCACAGGATTTAGATCTTTAGGAAAGGGCAGTGTTTGTACAGGTGGCACCATGTTCACATCATGATTCAAATCACTATCTCCTGCTTAGCTTTTCCTGCTGTCTGGTGATGTCTTGGCTGTATGTCCAGCTAATACATGGAAGTATTAGAGCTTTAGGTCTAATATGCAAACACACACAGACATAACTCTGTGTGTGTTTGCATATTAGACCTAAAGCTCTTGTTCAAGAAGCCACACCTCCAGACTGCAGCATTTATTTGCACCATCCAGCTTCTCTTCACGAACACTGTCCTCATCAAAGGTGCAAGTCAGGAAGCCAGCAATTCAAGCAGAAGTGCAAGGAAAACTTCCACCCCCCTGTGGTTTTAACACTCCCTTTAACTTCACCAGGTTCAACAGCTTCCCAAGCACACAAGCAGGTTCAGGCACCTCATGTTTAACTGGCACCTCACCTGCTCCAAGATGTTGACACTTATCTGTGCCTGAGCCGGCTTAATGATGGGGAAGAGGAAACATTTAGTTCAAGGCAAGTAAAACTAAAGGCTGAGCACGATTAATTTAGGGTGAATGATTTTTCTGCAGGACACAGAAGAAATGGTAATGTGTAAATACTCATCCCATTTAGCCTGCACAGAGCAGTGGTAAAGCACCCAAAGTTGCTGCTGTGTGAGGCCAAGTCCCTGCAGAGTCTGCTTCAAACACGGCAACACGGTGAGAGGCTGCAGCTTAACCAGTGTAATGGATCTTTACTGCAGTGATCATAGCATCTGGAATAACTTGATGGCATTTCACTGCACGAGGGCTGTGTGTTGAAAGCAGACATTTCTTTTCTGAATTATGTTGTGACTTGTGAGTTATGAGCTGGGACGTCTCAATTGAGCTCATCCATCAGTAAACACTTGCGAGACGCTGGGACAGTTTTGCAGTAAATCATACAGAGACTTTAAATAAACACAGGGGTGAAGGCTGGCAAGAGCTCTGTCATCTGCCTAACAAGCCTCATCACATCTTATGTGAATAAACAATCAAATAGACATATTTAAGTAAAAGGGACACAAAGATTCTCTTTGAATAATCCAACATCCGTTGGGACAAACAATTTGTTTTAATGGAGACTGTGAGCAGAAACAAGAAGGAAACACTGGTAGATCAGGGACAAGCAATAGAAGGGCAAATCAGGGACACCAGGGGTTGGCACAGCTCACTGTCCCTCTGTCCTTGAGGCCATCACTTTGTCTCCAGTCTGCAATGACACTTCTCTGTGGTGTCTTAGCAAAAAAAACCAAAAACCTGCACATTTCTGAACTGGACGGATAGGTATTTTTATGCTTTACAGCCACAGCTAACTGTCATAAAAATGTCCTAAAATTATTAAAAAAACATTCAGTACTTGACTTCAAGTACTTTCAAGATCAACTTTGCATGTAATAACTCAAAATCAGATTAAAGTCTGGTTTGATTTTACAGGTCAGTAAAAGGAAGGAAAAAAGGTTTTTTACCTAACCTTTGATGCATGACTACAATTAATGAGCTTTATCTTTCCATTTGTGAGTCAGAGGAGAGAGACTGAAATGCTTTCTTGGGAAGAATTTATTTTTACTTACGGCAAAGGGTGATCTTCCTAACATCTAAGTATTATAAATAAAAGCCTAAATATAAATATTTACAGTGAAAACTGCTTACTTTGCAGAAGACATGAATCTCAATGATTGCAGAACAGAGCCATGGATGCAGCTTTTATGGAAGGGTAAAAAAGGACACTTGAAACCCCAAGAACATTATGTTTCAAGATTCTTTTTTAGAAAAACCACTTTGATTTCTTTTTTAATTGAACTACTCATTAGCAGCCAAAATATCTATCTTTAGAAAAAGAGGCCATGATAAAAATCTATACAAGAATTAATAGCCCCATGCCAAGGAAAATGGAAGAATTTCTAAAAAGCTTTGAGTGCTCCCCCAAGTAAACAGGAAAGGGATAACTTTCAAGTGAAACACGAGCCGTTCCCATAGACTGGGTAATGGCAGGAATCACTGACATGAGCACAACCTGCTTTCTCTCTTGCTGGAAAAGCCATGCCATGGGACTGCTTCCATAAGCTAAATGGCAGGGCCCTGATAAATTGCATTCCAAGAGTAAGCCAGCAGTTTATAAAGTCATCATGGGTGTTTTACATACAGTTATGCAGAATTCCAAACTGTTACCATTTATTAAGTGATGTGCATGGCTTTACTGTAAGTATGTAAACTGTGAGTTTGTCACATCAGAATGGTTGGTTGCTCAAGTGGAAAACAACTGAGTGGGGTTAGAGAAGACTCCTGGTGGGAAGCAGGCACACATGAAAACTAAAAGCAGTACAGGAAAAAATTTATCTGCTGTTGGGAGAATTCCCTCCTCAACCTGACAAGACTCCTCACCTCAGCAATAAACACACAGACAGAGCAATCAATTGTAGCAATGGGCAGGAAAGTGGATTATCCAGAGTTTCCTTTTGTGTTTGCTTCCTAAATCTGAAAGTTGGGATGTGTAACTGATAAACTCAGTCTGCCCAGTGAACCAAAACTCTGAAGAGTTCTAGTGCCCAGAAGAGTCTTCTTTCTCTGTACAGATTTAAGTGTCATCTCTGATGTCTGTGCTCAGCATTGTTGCTGGGAAATCAGACTTTTGTAAAGCTCACAGCCACGTTCTACCAGGAGTTTTCCAGGAAAGAGCTTTCTGAGGCACCGAGCACGACCTCGACCTCCACTGTTCCACGAAGTGAGACTTCAAAAGGTGCCTTGCAGATGCTCTTCCCAAAATTCACCCTTCATGCTGGCAGAGTCTGCAGGACCGTCATCATTTTAACAGCAGCTTGCTTTAGTGCTAGACATTTTTATATAAATGAGAACATTCCAGACAGACAAGGAAAACTCCAACCCCAAAATACAATTCTTCCCTTAAAAGAGGCTGTTCTGGTTTTAGTATCTTGAATGTCTGCATACATGATATGCATATTTAGGTTGGCGCATGTGATTTAGCAGGAGAAGTAAAAGAAAAACCAAACTGAAAATTGAAATACTTAAAGAAATTGTTTGTGTATATGTGTGTGTCTGTGTTTAAACAACAGAAACCCCTCTAAGTCTTCCAGAAGTTTTCTGCCTCACTAGAATGAGCTCCAAATGTGAAACTTTATAAAAGTTCTGTCTGCAAGGGCATTAGAAAGTTGAGGAAGGTAATTGCATATCCTAATGGTTCCTCTCTCTGTATATGTATGCTGCTAAACCTATGGAATGTCACCGTTTTATGCAATATTTTAAAATGGGAAGACAGTTCAGAAGGAAGCTGAGGCAGGAAAGACAACAATAAGCAGAAATGTAGAGACAGAGGGAATGTTTTGACACCAAGAAGTTCCTTTTGACGCCCCCACTGAGTGGCAAGGACTCAGCTGGGGGGTGTATTTTAAATAAACTTGGC